TATGCACACCTGATATAGGGTGTTGATGTCATTAGACCACACCCCTTCTCATTACAGAGATGCACATCACCTAATATGCTTAATTGGTAGTAGGCTTTCAGGCCTATACAGCTTGGAGTAAGACAACATGCATGAAGAGGATGATGTGGACAAAATACTCATTTGCCTAATAATTCTGCACTCCCTGTACAGTCTGTAGTAAGAGCAGTGCCATAACAGGAGAGCTGACAACAGAAAAGCACTCTGACACTCCCACGGCATTGTGTGCAACACCATTTGGCAAAAAACAGTTAGTCATTCAGCACTTAAAGATTTTTCTTAGATACCTTCATATTTTTGTAAGATTTATCTATTGCATATGTTTGGATTTGATTCTCTTAGTATGTGAGCAGTATTTAATGTTTTCTTGATTTGCTGTAAGTCGGAGTCCATTAGACTAGTACAGTTTTACAGCAACATTTATCTTTCTTCTCAAATTTTTCTCAACTTGCAGCTCAATGACTCAATGACTGTACTTGTCCAGTCATTGATCTCCTTCATGCTCAAGAATAAGATTGCATCTGTCTTTAGATCAACAAGACAAACATTTGGATAACACTCAAAAGGGACATCAAATCCTGTACATATTGTTGCAGTAGAATATTTGAATATGGCAGCAATGGGAATGTTTGATTTTCCACTAGTCTGTTATCAGAAGTTATGTTCTCTAAGGGTCTGATTCATTTTTCCATGTGTATGAAAAAAAGAGAAGTGTACCTTTTAACCAATAAGTATTACCCCACAGTTTCAAAACTGATGAATTCCTAATTAAAAGGCTACACCTCAAAGAGTTTCAGTTGTCGAATAACAAGAAGTGAATTGTGCAACTCTAATGCAATTCATTTCAAGTGAATTTCCCAGTGGCTGCAAAATATTCCCCGTGCCAAACACGAATCGTGTTTCTTCCTTCAGGCAGCAGCGTTGGTCGAAGAAGAGACCAGAAGATACCGACCTACAAAAAACTACCTGAGTTACCTGCCTACTCCTGATTTCTCTGCTTTTGAGGTGATGAACTCATCAGAAGTTTAAAACCTTCTTAGTGGTTTCAGCTGCTGACAAGGAAATAATGGTGCTTCTTCTTTGTTCTCACCCCCTTCAGACAGAAATAATGAGGAATGAATTTGAGCGGTTGGCAGCTCGGCAGCCGATGGAACTCCTGAGTATGAAGAGGTAAATCCTGCCAGCTGTAAGAGCCTGATGGTAGCTTAGCTGCAAGTTGAGCTTTTTGCTTATTTGCCACAGAGGAAGAGAGATGCATTCATATAGTCAACCTACTACACTGCTTCTAAGTTCTTTCTAGGCTGTTCACCCATTCACTGATTCACACTGTAAAGTTGTGTTTTTAATGCAGTGTAGTCTCAGGGCCCAAAGATCACAACCATTCATTTAAAGTTTGTCAAGGATGATGCAAAATATGGTCCTTAAATTGTTGATCTGCTGTTGTGCAGTCCTGTGAGTTTTTGTCCAAAGCTTCAGCTGTTGGTCACATTTGACTTAAGAATATTTTCGTATACAGAGGGTTCATGGTCAACTCAGTGACTGCAAGCTGCCCAGGCCCTGTGGCTGCAAAACAAGCACAAATCCACCGTGCTTGATAGTTGATGTGAGGCACTTGTGCTGATGTGCTGTGTTTGGTTTTTCCTTTGTTACAGAAGTGTTTTGGTTTGTTCAAATGCAACTTTTTCTAATTTTACTGTCATAAACTTTAACATTTAACATGCTAATCTAGGATTGTAGCATCGTTTTAACAAACGGTCAAAACTTCAGCTCTTATAGAGGTGCTCACAGGTGCTGATGATTAGTTACTAAATTACATTTGAGTGGCATGATACAGTCATAATTCATATGCAAGCATGATGGGTGTACTTAGTTTTTCACAGGATTTCATAGATTCTTGTGAAAAAACTGTTTTTATACAACTTGACTTGCTTTTCCAGTAGTAGCTGTATCCCTCCCCTTCTTTAATTACACAACTGTTCAAGTCACATGCCGTATCATACATGATTCTGGCACCACATTAAAAAAAGAAAGAAAAAGAAATTCAACATTTTATGTAGCACTTAAATGATTTCCACATTTTCAGACAGGTCGGTTAACTCAGCTTTTGTTGTTGTTTTTTTAAATGTACGTTGTTGATAGTATTCCAAAATCTTTGCAAAACGGGGTAGTAACAGATGTGAGTGAAGTTGGCCCCCCACCTTCTTCAAATCCAGCAAAAGTGGTGTCACATGTTTGTGCTGCAAAAATGTTTGTTTGTGCCACTATCATTTCAAAGATATTAATAAAAATTTCTAGAGGTCATCTAAGGTCAGGAGGTAGATGACTTCTTCGGTACAGTAATGATGGTGGAGGCTTCAATACATGTGGGAACGACAGCCTGACCCTAATGATGTGTTCAAGATGTCTGTGAAGACCTTTGAGTTCCACAGCATAGTCCGTCAGTGCTCGTCCAAGGATGTTATCAGGACCTGGAGCTTTGCTTGTATTGATTTTGGCAAGAGATCTCCACACACTGTCTGGGGATTGTATCACCACGGTCTGCAGAGTGGGCTTGTAGTCTGTGATGGTTTGTATTCCTTGTCACTGCCTCTGAGTATCTCTGCTATCGCTGAAGCTTTGCAAAATCCTCCTGGATTACTGCCTTTTCATCTCTGATGCCACGTGACAGGTTTGCCCTTGCTGTTCTTAGGCTCACCTAATCCTCGGCTCTGAAGGCTGCATTTCTCAACCTTAGGAGCCTTGGACCTCACCTGTGAGCCATGGTTTCTGATTGGCCCGGACAGTGATAGCTCTGGTCTCTGTGACATCATCGATGCATTTTGGGATGTAGGCAATGACAGTTTCAGTATATTCCTGAAAGTCTGTGGTGTTGTCGTGTGTGGCAGCCTTTTTAAAGATCTCCCAGTCTCTGGTGGAAAAGCAGTCTTGCAGTGCCATCAATTTTGTCTGATTTGGGTAATGTGGGGGGGCTGGTTGACCTTCTGGCCTTTAAATTTTCTTTAATATCTTTAAAATGATAGCGGCACAAACAAAAATTTTAGCAGCACAAACGTTTGATACCACTTTTGTTGGTTTTGAAGAAGGTGGGGGGGGCAACTTCACTCACATGTAACTTAGTATTTTTCTGCTATTTTTTTATTTTTTTTTTTTACATTTTTTGCCTTCATTTCTGTTTGTTTCACATGTTAAAGTTTAACCCTCTGCTGTAAAAGGCTGTTTGGGTATTATCATCACTAAGTTTGTTAATGCAATAACTAAAGAAAGAAAGCAACATAGCAGCTACAGATGCTATCATAGGTGCATCTTCTAAAAATCTCATGAGTTCTCGGTGACCGCAACCTCAAGTTCAGAGGTCAAGTTTTCTGAAAACCTTGTGAGAACGATAATTGAAGAACCCAGCGATGTAGGATTTTCAAGTTGATGCCATCGGCGTGTCTACTAGGCAGAGGAGTAGCACTGGTGATCACCAGTATTTTAATAAATGTTTTCCTCATTGAGGTATGAGTTGCCGGCGCCCTCATCAGGACAGAAGAATGACATTACAGCGTGGCAGGAGTGCGTGAACAACTCGATGGCCCAGCTGGAGCACCAGGCGGTCCGTATCGAGAACCTGGAGCTCATGTCGCATTATGGAACCAACGCATGGAAGGCCTACAACGAGTGCGTACAGTCTCCAGATCCAGTCTGCACAGTGTTGATGTCTGTGGGGAAATACTGCTAACACGTGTCGTGTTTGATTTTTTTTTTTTTTCTTCAGCAACTTGGCCTTCATGATCGAGATGGCACAAAAGGAACTTCACAAATTCAGGTGAGTTCATTGCCTCAAACCTTTTGCTCCAAAACACGGTGTTTAATGTGTTTTAATATTTATCTGTTGGTGTGTTTGTTCTGCCACACAGGAAGCAAATTCAGGATTTGAACTGGCAGCGTAAGAATGATCAGTTGGCAGCAGGAGCCAAACTCAGAGAGCTGGAGTCTAAGTATGTTGTTGGAAGAGTTTACGTTTGTATCATTGACGCACAGAAGTTTTCCGTCTGTTTTAACATCTGTATTTGTGCCCTCAACAGCTGGGTGTCACTCGTCAGTAAGAACTATGAGATCGAGCGGGCAATCGTTCAGCTGGAAAACGAAGTCGCTCAACTCCGGCAACAGCAGGGAGACGAAAACAAGGAGAACATCCGACAGGACTTTTAGGAGCTACTGATCCCGCGGTCGGATTCCATCTTGGCTTGTGAGGCTAACAGGACTAAGAAGCAACCTTAGGACTGAAGTTTTTTTGCCGCGTTCCAAATGCGCCCATGAATCTCAATTTGCAGCACACAGTTTACCACTGTACACCTTATTCCAGTGTAAAAACACGACACAATACATCATCTTTTCACAAACGGAAAGTCGAACACAATAAAACGGCTTTTGTTGCCTCACGTGGTTTGGTAGGACAGGCAGATGAAATATCACATGTGACATTATTTAGTCTGTTGGCTGTAAATGCTAATGATATTATAGCATTAGCGTTTAGTGTTTTGTCACATGAGCTCATTTCGGAAGTTTACATCGACCTGATTCTTCAAGCTCTCTTCCAGCTCAACAGTGTGTTTGGAAAAATGTACATAGTTTGTTGTTTGAAGCCAGACTCATCTTTATGAGCTCCAGCATGACTTCAATTAATGTAATTTTTTAAAAGCGGTTTTAATAAATTGAACTTTTCTTATATTGTAGTGTGAATTTGATTGAACTCTTAATATTTCCCTTTCTTTTTTAAACTTGGTCTGATATCCATTATATTTTATTCTAATTTAAAATCATAAAACACACCAGTTTCTTCTTTCCTGTGAGGCACAGCAGCCTTGGTTAGCTATATCCTCCTACAAGGGGGCCTTGGTGTGCTCTTTTACACAATACTCTTACAGTTCAGTCTTTCAGTTCATGTACTGTTCAGCTGAAGCTAGTAGCTTTAGCACTTCTCCTGTTAAACCAGCTTCCATCTGATTGGCTGCCGCTCACAAACAAGAACATCAGGTGAGTTGAGCTGTCTGCCTCAGATGACAATTTTAAGGGGATCTCCACTCACCAATATCACACAGGTAATAGGAAAAAAGCTGAAACAGAAACAAACGCAGTCTAAATCTGACCTTTAGGCTCTCAGGGAATGCTTGAGTTCATGACAGGAAGTAATTTAATAGCTTCCCTTTTTAAACAGTCAGTGTACACAAGGTTGAAGGAATATTAAACATGAGATTAGGCTAGTTAGTATCCATAATAACATATCAACACGTGCATGTCCCTGCATACTAGACTCGTTTATTGGCAGCAGCTTTGCTGAGTGCAAGATCATTTATTACACCTAAGTGCACAAATATCTGGTGACAGACTGTTGTTGGCTAACTAAATTACAGCACTATGCACAAATTAGTGGGATCCTTGACAGTGACACGGGGTGGGAAAATGTCAAGAAACCAAATTAAATACAGGAATTCTGCATTTGCTTTATAATATCGAGAAGCTTCTGTAAAGGCTTCACAGTGTAGTGGTTTACACATTTTGTTAAGAAGCAAACAATCTTCAGTATGCTTCTTGGAGGAGAGACAAATGTTGAGGCGTCCCTCAGGAAGATATTGGACCCCCTGTGTCCTCTGATGCACCCGTGTGAGGGTTACACAAAGTAAAGAGAAAAACTACGCTTGTAGTAAAAAGCTCAGAGTAGAAAGGTGATGTATAAGTGCAGCACATTTTCTACCCGCTGTGGTGAATAAGGGAGCAGCTGTCAGCATCCTTCCTTTGTCTGTTAAAATGATGTAATCATTTCTCTTAATGCCATATTAATTAAAAAAAGAAAAAAGAAATTCAATACTACCTTTAAACACATTACTTAATGAAAATGTCAGGAACTTACTTTGACTCATAAACCTTTAATTTAAACAGCTCGTCACCCTGGATAGTACATAGCGTACTACTGGGTTCACACAGGAATAAAAAAAGGTAAATCTGATTTATTATTATTTATTGCCACGTTCCTCACACACACACTGTGTATAACAATCCTTTCGTCTGCCCCACCCCCCCCAAATACTGAATTTATTCTTCGATCACAGACAGATAGAACATCAGAATAAATTCAAGTCTGTGGCAAATCAAAAAGCCTGGCTGTGCAAGATTGTCTGTAGTCATGAAAAGCCCGATGTCCAGCATAGAAAGGAGCTAGATAACGTAGTGCTTAAACCACATATGAGCAGCTTCTACATACACCAACACCTGGAATGGATGGAACTAAAGAAAAATCCCAACAGAAATACTGATACTCATGCGCTTTCGCTTGTCTCTTACAACATTCGCCCATCTCTCACACACACACACACACCAGTTTGCAGGCACCGTTAAACTCTTTGCAAAGATGCTAGAGGGTTCTCCTTAGGAAAAGTTATCCAATGTGACTGAAATTTTGACTATGTGCAAAACTTTATGGACAGCCACCGGTAGCAAGAGTAGCAGAAGGTATTTTTGGCCATGCTCCAGTCTATATGCTGAGAGTGTTCAGAGCTGGTACTAAAGTAACAGCGTCTGGCAGGTTTTGGTTCTGGTCCTGGCTTCCTTTACTCTGGAGGAACTTCTGTCGATGCCGCTCCTCCTGACGCTTCTTTTTCTCGAGCCGCTGCTGCTCTTTCCTCTGTTTGTTGGAGACCTAGGGGTGAGCGAAAGAAAAGAAAAAGTCAGTTATCCTCGTTGAGTAAAGTTTAAAACTGCTAAAGCATGACCAATGCTGCAAAAAGATATTTCACAAGTTAGGAACACCAATGTGAATCAATTTCATGTATAATGTGAAGTATAAAATATTGATTTAGCTAGACAGGCTCCTTTATAATGCAAATAATTAGCAGGAAATTTGTGTCCACAACCTTGGATTTTTGAACGTTGCTGCCCTCTGCTGTCTCGATGGGATCACTGCAGTGAGCGGCTGCAGCTCTGCAGGCTGAACAGGATCCAGAGGCACACTGGCCCTGGCAGGACTGGCCCACCGCAGAGCCAACAAGCCACTCGGCGTTGATTGTCGCTGCACTCAGTTGGAGTAAGTTTTCCTCATCACCTGAGGCAAAAAAGATATAAACATGCAAATACAATCAGATCTGTTTCTGTTAGTGTCATACTAAGAGTCTCAGTTCAATGCTGGGATGTTTATGTGATCAACACAACTAGCTGTGAAAAAACATCCAAAGCATTCATGATTCTGACGATTATGTTGCTTTCCCTCACAGAAGTCTACTTGTTCCAACAGCTAATAATTTAAATGTAACTTCTAACCCTGGATCCCTCGATTCTTGATGGAGCTCAGGATCACGTTGTCCTCCTCTGACGCTGAAGGAGAAGACTTTTTGTGCCTGTCTCTCTGACCGTCCCCAAACTCACGCTGCTGTCCATGTGAATTCTGCATATTCTGGGAACAACAATGATAAGAAAAACATCAGAAAAAATCTAGTAGAAGACGGCTCATTGGGTGCAGTGTTGACATATAAAGACGCATGCTAGATGAGAGCTAACTGTACTGGTCTGGTAGGACACCACACCTCTATGCGGAGCTGAGCAGGACTCTCAGAGTTGTCTCCTATCCGTCTCACGCTGTCATAATGGTCTCCATAGCGGTAGGCAATGTGCAGCTCTCGGCACACCTGCTTCTCTGAACCGTTGATCTGCAACAAAAACACAACATATAAACAGCGTGGTGTGCCACAGAGACATCATATAACAAATTATATTAGCGCACAAGATCAGGAGACATAATTTGAAAGTGTCTGCTCCTACCTCCCACAGTGGAGTGTTGAGCTGATGGATAACCACTTTCACCTGTTGACTGCGAGCAAATGCCACAATGGCATCGTTGCCAGCAAAAGTACCAGGCTGAGAAAGATTGGCCACTGCAAGGAAAAGAAGCACAGAGTTGTTACTGCCACAACTGCTCTCTTGAACTTTCAACACATGACTCTTAAAGTCTGTCTGCTAAAATGACTAAAGCTGTCCTATTGTATATATTACTATTTCCACATTTTTACACTAAAAAAAAAGTAAACTAAGAGATCGTATATTTATTTTGTGACACCCCGTCCCTCCCACAGGCCACTTACATACATCTGTCACTCAGAAGCAATAACCACCAGAGGTCACTACAAAGTTTCTGGTCAAAACTGCATCCCACTGAACTCAGCTGTCTGTCTGTGCAACTATATTGCCAAAAATATTCCCTCACCTACTGAAATCATGGAATTCAGTTGTTTCAATCACTTCCATGGCCACAGGGTATAATATTCAAGCATGAAGACATGCAGACTGCTTTTACAAAGATTTGTGAAAGAATGGGTTGCTCTCAGGTACTCAGTAAATTTCAGTGTGGTACCATGATAGGACCTGTGTAACAAGTCCAATCGTGAAATTTCCTCGCTACTAAATATTCCACAGTCGGCGGATGCTGAGGTGCATAGTGCACAGAGGTTGCCAATTTCCTGCAGAGTCAAGCACTACAGACCTCCAAACTTCAAGTGGCCTTCAGATTAGCTCAAGAACCATGTGTAGAGCGCTTCATGGAATGGGCCTTCATGGCAGAGCAGCTGGATTCAAGCACAATACACAGTGTTGGATTAAGTGGTGTAAACTGAGCCATCACTGGACTGTGAAGCATTGGAAACAGTTCTCTGGAGTGACGAATCACACTTCTCCATCTGGAAATTTGGTGGATGAGTCTGGGTTTGGCAGTTACCATCAGAACGGTATTTGTCTGACTGCATTACGACAAGTGTAACGTTTGTTGGCGGGGGGGGTTATGGTGTGGAGTTGTTTTTCAGAAGTTGGGCTTGGCTCTTTACTTACAGTGAAGGGAACTCTTAATGATTCAGCATACCAAGATATTTTGGACAAACTTTGTGGGAACAATTTGGGGATGTTCCATCGTGACTATATAACAATGCATAAAGCAAAGTGCACACAGACGTGGACCTTGCCATGTGTTTTCTTTCTTCCAAGTTTCTCTTCCAAGTTTGGGTTGAAAGAACTTGACTGGCCTGTACAGAGTCCTGATCTCAACTCAACAGAAAACCTCTGGGATGAATTAGAGTGGAGACTGTGAGCCAGGCCTTCTCGTCCAACATCACTGTCTGACCTGACAAATGTACTTCTGGAAGAATGGTCAAAAACTGCCGTAAACACTTCTAAACTCTTCCCAGAAGAGTTGAAGCTGTTACAGCTGTAAAGGATGTGCTGACACCATTTTAAACACTATGGATTAAGAGTGGGATGTCAGTCAAGTTTGTATAGGTGTGAAGGCAAATACTTTTAGCAATATAGCATAGGTACCGTTATAGATTGTGGATTGCAAGTAAGAGTAAGTCTAGCTAATCACATTGTTTTCTTGGCATATGTAGCCAATGTTACCCGCTTGCTTGTTTTTTTCTTACAGTGCTGTGCAAAGGGAACGTCATCCTCAACAAAGGGCTCAAAGTCTTGTCGATGGGATGTCATATAATCAACAGTTTCCTGGCGAAGACGCAGGTGGCCCCGGGAGTGACCCTCTAACTGGTCGCCTAGAGCTCTGAACAGACAATTCCTAAAGAACAAAAGGAAATGACAAATGACTGCCTGTGGTTGAAGGGTTTAATATACAATCTTTACCAAAATGAAGTTAAAAGTTGTTCGAATTTTTAAATCAAAGAGAGCTGCTCAGCCTTATTTTTTTCCAAGCATTTTTGAGCCCTCATAATTGATTATGTAAAGGATAAAGACAGGGCATTTTTAGAACAGATTAAATACATTTAAGCTCTTTTAAAAACTGCATCCAAAAAAATTAAAAACAAATCCAGGTGCTCCGATCTAAAGCCAGAACTGTTTTTTTAAGATATCACCATATGGGATGTGGTGGGCCAAGTTATAGGATATGAACAATCTCCTATTTACCTACATTGTGATACTAAGCCTCATTAACTAGACACGATTCCCTCTGAGTCAAAACTATTTTTAATACAGCAATAAGCTAATGCAACCTACAGACTCAACACTGGTGTTCACATATTCACATAATAAGTTCACATAATATTTTGATCACTTTGAAATAAATGAGAAATCAGTTTAAGCAGGACCACACAGAGAGAGCAGGTCTGATATTCTGGCTCTTACCCATCTCCAGGGACTTCTCTCAGCTTGAGCCCCAGTGCTTGCAGCTGATTGGAGAAACTGACAAACTCTGCACCTTCATCGCCATCCTGAGGGCGGTTCTTGCGGTCTTTTGCGATGGCCCGGCGCACTGCCCTTTCATCCCTCTTGCGCTCCAATTCACTCTTTTTATTGCTCCGCAAAGATTTGTGCGTCTGTTTCCTCGACATGTTGACTGCACTCGTGTCTGCAGGCCTACAACACCACAGTGCGTCTCCCTGTGGCAGCGAGCAGGCGCTTCATGAAAGACTACCACACGTCTGTAACTTTCTTTTTTTAATGACAGAGAAATAGTAGATTTTTTAAATATTTCAACCAGACGGCATATTAGATCATTCTAGATTGATTATATATATATATATATATATATAACACCACACACACACACACACACACACACACACACACACACACACGTATATATATATATAGTTTCTTGAAGGACATTCAAAGCTCTTCTTTGGGGTTTGTGATCCCACATTGCTTCAATGATGTCCAGGTCTGGGCTCTGGGGAGGCCAGTCCATGATTAATAGTGTTCCCCTATGTGTTTTTCTATTGACGTATGCTTTTACAGTGCGGCAATATGTTTGGGACCAAAATCTATCGGTTCTGTTATGTGACTGACAAACTTTCAGACAGTCTGACTGTATGAAAGCAAAATAGAAAGAAATGAGGGGTGGCTCAAGACATTTTCACAGTAGTGTACCTTTACTTCAAAAAGGCAGCATAAACTTTTTATTTTCATTTCTTTAATATATATATATACATCTGTCAGTATTATCTCAGGTAATTTATGACGTTTTGTGACTTTAATTCTGCCAAATAATATTTTGTTTTTTCTTGAAAATTAACAATTCCAATTTCGAAACTTTCTGGATTTTTCTTTGAAGGATATCCCCTAACCCGGCTTTGTATTTTTTATTTTATTTTATATAATTGTTTATTTTTCTTGGCCTGTAAACATAAGCCGTGATACACTTTAGAGAAAACGCACCACGTCTAAAACGTGGTACGTTTTAGATATAAACGTCCAATAGTTTTTTTTTTACTTCCTTTGTTTGTACTGAAGCTAAATCATTTTACTTTGCTTTCTTAAATGTAGCCAATTAGTCAGCAGTATGGAAGCTAACTAATAAACACTTAGAAACTTAAGTGGGTACGGAGTTACTCGCTATCTACTTAGCTCAAACGAAGCGTTTTCGGCGACAGCTTAGCTGTTAGCTAGCATTAGCGGCTAGGTGCAGAGTACTCAACAGCTGGAGAGATTACATAACAAATCACCTCTTGTCTTTATCACTACATCATGACACACCGAGTAACTTAACATAGTTGACGTGCTGACACTTACCTTTAAAAAAAACTCTGATTGACGAGATAACCAGTTTTTGTTTTTATTATGTTCTAGCTCAGAATAGGAAAGTTGTGATTGTCCGTTTTTGTTTACAACTGAGGTTCCGCGTACGTATATCCGTGTACGTCAAAACGTACGGAAGGAGAAATGGGCCAAACCGTAAATGCGATTAAAAAGGCTTGCAGTAGCAGCAAATTTTCTTCATTTAAACAAAGTAAACAAACAACAAGGAAAAAAAATGACAAGACTCCAGTATCTATCTCTCTTTCTTTCTATCTATCTCGTGGTCTTTAAATTCACCACCTTCCGCCTTCTTAATGTCTTCTAAGGCTACTCACAACCTACTCATTTTAATGACTCCATGCAGTTGATGAATATAAGGCGGAGGAGTGGGCTGAAAAGTAATAAACAGGATGTTTGCAACGTTAAGAAAAACAACATCAACAAAAACAGACACAGATAAAGAAAATAATCTCAAGAGATAAAACTGCATAAAACTTTTTTTATTTCCAAAAAACGAGACAAGAAAAAACATAAAGGAGCCATACGGCTCTGTGTGTGTGGGGGTTATCATGGGTAAGTGCTGGCATTGTGTGAACAGATGTAATGGCCTACAGGCTATCCGCGTGCTTGTACGTGTGCAGCAATCAGCGCCCGTTACCTGAGTGAAACATAGGAGCCGTCAGCCACGTTTGACTCAAAGGACAACAACTCTGTACTGTATGTGCACGAGCAGTGTGTGTGTGTGTGTGTGTCAGCAAGGCAGATCATGTTTTATGATAAGAGTTTCTATTTTTGAGTTGATATCAGAACATCATGTGAAAAAAAAGCCATTTTCAGCTGACTTCACAATTTTACATTTATGACTAAGATAAGATAAGATAATCTTTATTAATTTGTTGGGTTAAGGCTGCCGACCTTTGCCAGCGCCATCTTACCCTTCGACCATACATACATTACAACATCACATGGGGAAGTCAGGTCAGAGAGGTATAACAATGGAAAATGCACAACATGAGGAAAGACGAGGAGAAAAAAATAACTCCCCCCAGACTGAGCTCCAACAGGGAGATCAGTTTGAGAAAAGAAAGAAAAACACCTCAGCACATAGGACATGAATCAGCATATCTCACAACATAGAAGACATAAGCTTCGAAGGCGTTTGGAGGGGGTGGGGGGTGAGTGTAGGTCTGTGTCAGTGTACATGCGTATGTGTGCGTGTGTGTGTTCCGTGTTCAACCGAGAGAAAGTGTCCCTTCACCCAGTTAAGCAAAAGTCAACAGTCTTCGGTCGACGCGGGTGGCCTTGAATGAGGAGGGAGAGAGTCACAACACAGTCTTGTTAGCTAAGGGAGAATTTGTTATTCCCGTCAGCTTTTGCCTTGAGCATCCAGCTGGCGCCAGGGGGGCCGCATGAGATGAAGATGGTAGCTGTTTTGGATGGTGCGAACAAACTGAATCCAATTTTACAGTTGGTCTAATGTCCATCACTGGTCACCAGGTCTCTCAATTCCCGTTGTTCTTCTTCAAGATCTTATCCATATAGCAGAGCCATGAGCTTCTCCAAGATCTTGTCCATATTGCGTTCAAAAACACAGTCTGAGTACTCACAGCCCTGCCCATCATCTATCATGTCGGCCAGACTTGTGGGATTTTGAACAGCTGTAGCCGCTTCTTGTTCTTCGATAAGCCATCATCATCATCATCGTTTATTTATATAGCACTTTAAAAACACACAACGCTGACTAAAGTGCTGACCAACAGAAACATAATAGATACCATAAGAATAATAAATACGATAAAATAATAAACATAGCGAAAACAATAAAATACAAGTCAGTCAACCACTGAATCAAAAGCCAGTGAATAAAAATGCGTTTTCAATCCGGATTTAAAAACCATCACTGATGTCGATTGCCTAATGTGAAGAGGAAGATTATTCCAAAGCTTAGGAGCCATGATAGAGAACGCTCGGTCTCCTCTCAGTTTCAACCGTGATTTGGTGACTGAGAGCAACAGCTGCTCAGCTGACCGGAGCGAACGAGTGGGGACATAGGGCTTCAGCAAATCAGACAGATACGCAGGTGCCAGACCATTTAAAGATTTAAAAACCAATAAAAGAACTTTAAAATGAATCCTAAATTCAATTGGGCGCCAGTGCAGGGAGGCCAGAACCGGAGTAATGTGCTCAAATTTCCTTTTACCAGATAAAAAGTCAGGTCCGAGCCAGATAAAAAGCCAGGTCCGAGCCAGCTCCAATCAGCCAGAACTCTGTTATTGTGGTTCCGAATTGGTAGATGTCGTTCAATCTCCATCATTGTATTAACAGACCTCTCTGCATTGAATCATATCTGTTATTAACCTCTGTCTCTCTTCCACAGCATGTCTTTTATCCTGTCTTCCTTCTCTCACCCCAACCGGTCGCAGCAGATGGCCGCCCCTCCCTGAGCCTGGTTCTGCCGGAGGTTTCTTCCTGTTAAAAGGGAGTTTTTCCTTCCCACTGTCGCCAAAGTGCTTGCTCATAGGGGGTCATATGATTGTTGGGTTTTTCTCTGTACCTATGAAGCGCCTTGAGGCGACTTTTGTTGTGATTTGGCGCTATATAAATAAAATTGAATTGAATTGAATTGAATTGAATTGAATTGAATCATCGAGAGTGTTGCCAGACACACGACGCAACCGAAAATCGAGTATACAGCAGCAAACGTCTCCGCAGGACAATCAGGCTCTCCCAAGCCTAGGAGTTGTCGATTTCGTTAAGGGACCAGTTGATCAAATCCACAATTCTTCTTTAGGTTTTTAAAGAACAAGTCTGGGAGACTCTCTTAGGGTTAGAGAATAAGCAAGACTATACAAAAGACATGAGAAGCCAAGCAGGAAAGATAAGGGAGAGGAAGAAGGAGAAAGTGTGACCGCCTCCACCAGGAGCCAAGAGAAGAAGTCTTTTAGAGAGCATACCATCTCTGTCAGCTTCACTGCCTTGCTCAAAGGCTTTTTTGACATGACATGACATGGTTGTTTGTATAGATAACATCTGCAAACCATGGCTATGACCCACAAGCCACCACTTCTTCGTCTTTGTAGTTTGTTGAATTTAAACTTGATCACCACAGCATCCACTGCTACAAAATCGGGAGCTTTATTATATTATCATTATAGTTGTGTCCTTTTATTTTAATCCAGTTGAAGGTTGATTTACTTGTCTGACAATGGATGGGATGGCCACTTAAATATTTTTCAGTTTTAGTAAATTTGCATTCAGCTTCACGTTTGAAGCTGCACTCATAATCATGACCATTCAGGCTTCAAGTCCTTTTTTTTTTTAACAGTTAAATGTTTACATTACCCCCATTCTACCCCCTGTAGATTTTAATTAGAGCTTACTACACTGGTGCCCATCTTGGCTGCAGTTTCTTCACGAGGGGCGAGGTTGAAATGAAGTAACACTAGCAGGAGTGTGCCTGTGGGTGACAACAGCAGATGTTTTTAAAATCTGCTCCACCAGAGACAAAGGGTATGAGTACAGTGGTTAGTGATTATTTTCTTACAGTATTTGTATTTTAGATTTTATTTGGGCATGCATAGAAACTGTACAACAGTTCAGTCTGTTTCACTACTTTATTTGGGATGATTGCTGTCCATGGTGCTGAAACAGCCACCCTTCCCTGGAGTGATTACTTGGTTTTTATGACACATTTTCCTGTCAGTTTGTTGTTTCTCTGGTACCTAGGTTGGCAATACAGACTATACTTGAGGGATACAGGAAATCTGGATATACATATTTGAGCTGCAGGCTGGGATATGACAGTTATATATTTCCTTTGATTTGATGGTTTGCATACTTGCAAGTTCCACCTCTCATTTCTGTATTCTATATAGCAACTTGAAACTTTTACCATGGAGACAATAAGAGCAGATGCTTTCAAATAATACATCAAACAGGATGTTTACTCAGTGAGCTCAATGAGCCATGGTACAGATGTCATGCCACACCAGAACTAGTCTTTGAAACCACTGGCCTTTATTATTTCCACCAGTAGAATATTATCACTATTTTGCAGAAGTTTTGACATTTTCTCAATTTCCACACTTTCCACTGTAGCCTAAATAAGTAATCCAAATGACACCCCAAAACAAGTTTTAACCTTAGGCTCATTTTGGAAATGTAACAAGCGGCATGTTGTGAGCAGAAATGGTGCAGAGTCAGAAACAGAGGAGCAGCAGTGTCTGGGGGAGAAGTAGAACACAAGGCAGGCGTGTGTGTGTGTGTGTGTGTGTGTGTGTGTGTGTGTGTGTGTGTGTGTTAGGGTTGGGGGGGGTTACTGTGGGGATAAAGCAGGTTAAATCATGATGACGAGTGCCATCGGTGCCTCTGCCGGTGTCCTGTAAATAACGAGCCTACAGGCCTTTGCCTTAAAGCGGGCTTGCAGTTCTTTCTTCTCACACCGCCCACTATACACAGATTCTCTCGCGCGCATAGAAGCGCGAACGCGAAAGCGTGCGTGCGCGCATGCACTAGAGGTGGGAGTGGATGCTCGTGTAGCTGCTGGAAGCCAGGATGGGATAATCCTGGCTCCGGGCGTTGATGCAGCTGCCGTTGCTGGATACGGAGTGGACTCGGGGCGCAGGGTGGGTCTAGTTCCCGACTGGAGCTGTGTGGACCCCGTGTCGATGTTGTCAAGCGTTCCGAGAAAGACGAGGGCGATGGCCGTGAGAGGAGTTGGTGCAGCTCTTTGAAACGTCCAGGCAAAAGAAATCGACCGTCTTCTCCCATGGAGGACACCGGCATTAATCTGAAGCGCAGAACCGGTGTGGAATAACTTAGGAAAGGAGGGAGAGAGGATACCGGGGCACTCCGTAGAGGATATCAGGGGAATCCTTCATTCATTTTCTTTATGGTTTCTTTAAACTGGGATACAGCTAGAGACGCGAGTGAAGGAACGGATCACTTTTGCATCGGTGATTAGGAGAAGACTGCCTCCTTGGATCGAGCGGCAGCCGCATCCGACCTACCGTGGGGGGTGGGGGGGTGGGGGGAGATCAGGATACTTGGATGGAGAGGGCGCAGTGAAGGCTAGCGGCTTGCCGTGTGTAGGAGGGGACGGAGGGAGACCGGGCAGTTTGAAG